TACAAATCATTAAGAATAGATAAACATAAATTATTTTTATCATTTTCATTTTTATTAACTTGTTGGAGAAAATTAAATCCTAAATTATTTATTTCAATTTTTATAATTATTCCTCTATTAAAATTTTAATAATTATAGTTTTCATTTTTTTTATTAATGTTCAAAAATAGTCCAAATGTGATCAATATATAAATTCATCAAACCAGACACCGATACGAAAGATATTAGACTATATCCTGATATAGCAAGATATGATCAATAGAAAGGTATATTGTGCTGATACGCACGACTCATGGGATACATCCAATTATTACGTATCCATGGATATGGATATGATATGCCACGTATCAAGGATATCGTATCGATACTTTAATCCATGGCGACTACGGATAACCCCTCTTTTTGCTCCCATGCCTTCAACTTGTCCTTTGCTCCCGCTCCCCTGTGCTTACTTTGGTGACTTAGCTACCTTAGCTTGGCTTGGCATTGGCTTGGGATCACCTCATCTTATTACTGATTTGAGTGTTTGAAGGTTTTCTCTCGGGAACATGCCTCGAAGACTCTGACATCTGTTCGCCTGACTCCCAATCCATCTCTTATAGAAAATTCTAATAGCAAACCTCACAAACGGTATGCCTACCGAATATGGTCTTTGTAGTAGGGGGAGGGGAGCGAATTGCCATGCTTATGCACCCTATCTCTTATTTAACACACATAGACAAGACAGCATACTAAGAATCTACCATTTCACAAATTCTAGGATGCATGCATGCATGCCTCACATACGTTAAACATTTCTCTATGCGTTTCACAAAGAGAGATTTAGGCAAAGTCATTACACCAAATAAACTATGTGAACCTTAGAATATGCTTACTTTTCACATGTTTTTAATTAAGTGCTATTTTGTAAGTCTTTTTAGGAAGATCTTTTAAAGGAGATGGCCAAAAGATATAATGAGCTTTTGGGATTTTGTCTTCAAAAATCTAGGTCGTTTGGTAAGTATCTTAGTCTAATATGATCTAGGAGTTGTTAAATGAATGATTTTAAGTGTAGAAAGATAGGAAGCTTCATTTCAAGGCTTCACATTTTTAGCCATTGTAGGCTTCCATGAACTTTTTACGGCATAGGTCTTTTTCTTCCTCGTGTCTTTTATTGTAAAATGCAGGAAATCAAAATTTGGTCTTTCAAACTTTGAAAAGCCTTGAATACCACACAAAAAGATTTGCCAAACACCTCCTTAATCAGCAATATTCACTTCGCTGGATCATTTCATTACTTAAATTGTCTATTTTGAAACCTAGACAATAGGAGTTTTGATAATGATGAATACATACATGGCTAAATATAAATCGAGGTTCTTTAAGGAAATGGATCATCTTAGGATGAATTAGTTGTAGTGTACAATCTATGGTGAAAACTTAGGCTTACAAAGCGTGTTTTTTTTTATTTGAAAATTCCAAATTGTGCTACACAAGATGGGGAGTAGCACATCCCCAATAGTCTGTCATACAAACAGAAAGGAGATTAGGAGGGAGTGATGGAATACTTAAGTTTAGTTTATCATTTGGAGAGAGAGAGAAGATCTTCATGCGCCAACCAATCCGTCGCCTGATTTGCTTCATGAAACGCGTGCTTGTAAGAGATATCAAGCACGTGCTTGTAAGAGAACTCATCCTTCAACTGGAAACATGCAGTGATGATATGCTTCATCTTCCATGGTGGTTCACCAAGTTGGAGTCTCCTTCGATGATGATAGGTTGTTCCCTGAAATTTAATGCAATATTATGGGCTTCCCATGCCACCCATGTCTCCGCTACATTTATTGTGGCGAGGCCCATTTTAAAAGCTTTGATGTCTAAGACTTTTCCTATATGATCTCTTGCTAAACTAGCCATTGAACACCATCCCTCACTGTTATGGGAGGCGTTGAAATTGATTTTCATGTGCCCAATGTTTGGGGATTTCCAAATAATAGGAAACCACTCTTTGATATTTTGGTCATTTTTATTCTCCAAATAGATTTCATTGTCTTCCCTGAGAGAATTGAGAGCTTTGTCAATTACAAATTGTGGTGGAACAATTATCTTCCTTATTTGTTACAAATATGGGTTTGATTCTTTGCCATATTTTGTTTTGGTATCAATGTAGAATTAATCTTCTATTCATTCAAATACTTTCTTTCTTGGTCTATCACATCCGACACAAGGCTTTTATCATTTTCAATATCATTTCCATTTAGAAGTTCAGTGAGTGGTTTTTCTTCTACCCAAGTATTGTGCCAAAAGCTCATTGACTTACCATCCCCTACACACCACTTGGCACCTTATGGAGAAGATCCCTAGCATGGAGTACTCCTTTCCATGCCCATGACATTTCTCTTTTGGGCTTTGCAATCCAAAAAAACTTCATTTTTTAGGAATTTCTCTTTCATCATTCTAACCCAAAGGTTCTTGTCATCCTTTAAAATTTTCCAACCTAATTTTGCCAGATTAGCCTCCTTAATCTATTGAAGATTTCTTAAACCTAGACCACCCCATCTCTTTGGGATACAAACTTTCTTCCAGTTCATTAGGGGCATGGGTTTTCTATTGCTTGATTTGGACCATAGAAAATCTCTTTGAATTTTATTTAATTTATTTATGGTATTGCCTGGTATTTTAAAAGAACTCATAAGGATTTGGGCCATCATATTTGTCGTAGAATTCAATAAAGTTAGTTTACCAGCCAGTGAGAGAGAGTTTTGTTTCCAGCTCGATAGTTTTTGTATAATTCTTAGGGTTAGCATCCATTGGGATTTTGAGAAATTTGACCAACATTTTTTGTAATATATTGGATATGCTTTTCGAGAACAGTGCAGAGGGTTTCTTAAAATTTGGGCACTGGAAAGAGGCGTTATCAAATTATTTAGGATTTCTTTGATTTTTGCACAATCCAGGAATGTGGTTTTTGCCAAAAAAAATCATGTAATCATCTGCAAATTGCAATATTGGGATTTTGGCTCCCCCTTTAGAGTCTTTAAAACCAATATGGTTTTCGTTGAAGTCAGATTTCCTCTCAAAATTTTGGGCTAGAGCTTCAACATAGAATACAAAAATGTAAGGAGAAAGAGGGTCTTCTTGTCTTAATCCTCTTTTAGGCTTGAATTCATCAATCGGGCTTCCATTGATTAAAACCCTATATGGAGCTGATTTGATACATTCCATAACCTATGCAATCCATTTTTCATGGAAGCCAAATTTTTTTAATACTTTTTCTATAAATATCCACTCAAGTTTGTCATAGGCCCTTTTCATGTCTATTTTATAGGTCATGTATCTGGAATAACCTTTCTTTTTCTTCATGGTATGGATCATTTCATAGGTAATTAGAATATTATCATCAATTTATCTATTTGGGAATAAAGGCACTTTGATAATGAGAGATGATATTATCCAAAATATGTTTGATACTGTTTACTAGATTTTGGATATAATTTTGTAGGTCACATTACATAGGCTAATTGGCTGAAAATCATTCGTAATTTTCAAGTTCTTATTCTTTGGAATGAGTGTAATAAAGGTTTGGTTTGAAATGGTATACATAAACCCATTATGGAATAATGCTTTTACCACATTGCAAATCGTGTCTCCAATTATATGCCAGAATTTAAAAAAAAAAAAAGAGCATTCAGCCCATCCGATCCTAGAGCTTTAAGGTCCATTATTGTCTCAAGAGTCTCCTTTATTTCAGCATTAGTTACTAGTTTGATTAATTGTGCATTTTGCTCTGGAGTGATACAATTGTCAATCCCATCAATGAATTCATCTATCCCACTTGTTTGATTCGATAGATATTATTCCTTAAAGTTAACCGTGAAATGATTTGCAATTTCAGTGGCCTCATTGATCCATACTCCTAAATCATCTTTTACTTTCACAATTTTATTTCTGCATTTTGTAATAGTGGCCATTGTGTGAAAGAATGAATTATTTTTGTCTCCGGATTTAATCCAATCTAACCTTGCACTTTGTGCCCAAAAAATCTCTTCCTTTTCTAAGATTTTGTCAAGTTGTATCTGTAGATGCATTATTGAAGGTTCCAAGGAGATGTTTTTCCGGACTTCTTCTAATCTTGCTGGTAGTTCTCGCATTTTTTTTTGAAAATGTCTCCATAATGTTTTCTATTCCATTCCTTGATGTTCTTTACTAGATTGTTTCTTTTTTTGATGAATTGGATTGCCTTAGATCCGGTAACATCTATATTCCAGCCCTTGTTCACAACATCCATCACACTTGGATCTAAGCACCACATTACCTCGAATCAAAAGAGCTTTGGACCTCGTCATTGTAGGAAGTATTAAGTGTTAGAGTCACGTTCGTGTTTCACGTAATGTGACTCATGCAATGGCTATCTCAGCCATGCACGTTAGGAACCATGTATGGTAAGGATTATCCTCAAATTGTATTGTGCATCTAGAACTCTATCTAACTTTATCTCAAATGATAGTCTTATGATCTCTATCCTAATTAACAGTCTTGTACACAAACCCTCTTTAACCCAAGATAATTGATTGGCATTCTGTATTACCCTGAACTCAATCTTCTCTCTCTCCCTGTTCTATCTTGGTATCAAAGCCATGGCCGACAACTCTTCCTCTATCTCCTCTCATTTCCCTTCACCCCTTGGTAACCTCGCCAACCTTATCTCAGTCAAACTCGTCAAACACAACTATCTCCTATGGAAAACTCAGTACCAACCCATGCTTGAAGGGCTTGGACTGTTCGGCTATCTTGATGGCTCCAACCCTTGTCCACCATAGTACCTTGATGATTCCATCTCCGACATCAAAACTATGGACCCAGAGTTCTCTTCCTGGCAAGTCTAGGACAAGCTGCTGCTCAGTTGGGTTCTTGTGACTATAACTGAAAATGTGTTGGCTCAGGTCGGCGGCTGCCGCACCTCCCATGAAGCCTGGACAACACTAACTCGAGTATATGCCTCTCCCTCTCGAGCCTGAATCATGCAGCTGAAGAATGACCTTCACCACCTCCATAAAGGATCGAAGACCATGACTGAATATCTCCAGCGGATCAAAAGCCTCACCGATGCTCTTGAAGCTGCTGGACACGGCCTCTGCTCCGACGACATCATTCTCCACACCACTGGAGGCTTGGGCCTAGACTACGATCCCCTAGTAATAGATATTACAGCCCGCCATGATCCTCTCTCCATTGAAGAACTCCACAGTCTCTTACTCCAGCATGAACGCAGGCTAGATCACCAACATTCAGCTCTTTCGGACTTCTCTCTCCGCCACCTCAACAGTACACAAACCAGGAACTTGACCACCAAACTCCTCTCGTGGTGAGCATGGCGGTACTCCACCTTCACATGGCTGAAGTAAGGGTCGTAGCTATGGCAACACCTAGTCACAACCCAAAGTTACTTGCCAAGTCTACGGCAAGGTCGGCCATTCTGCCCTCTCTTGTTTCCACCGTTTTGATATCAGTTTTCAAGCTACTGGCACTACCAATCACTCCAAGGCCCTTGTTGAGTCTAACACCACCGACTCCTCAGATGGTGATTGGTATCCAGACACTGGTGCCACAAATCACCTAATAGCAGATCTGGGCAACCTCTCTCTCCGCTCTGACTACACTGACATTGACAAGATTGGTGTGGGTAACGGGGCAGGTTTGGATATTAAACATATCGGTCACACCTCTCTTCATACTCTCTCTTGTACTTTGCATTTAAATAATATTCTACATGTGCCTGCTATCACAAGAATCTGTTGTAAGTTCGCCAATTTTGTTGTGATAATAGCGTTATCTTTGAATTTGATGATTCGAGTTTCATTGTGAAGGACAAAAACCAGGGGACTCCTCTTCTTTCAGGATCGACTAAGGACGGTCTTTATCAGCTCTCTATCTCACCATCTAGCAGCTCCAATAAGGAACTTGTGTTTCTCTTGGGAGTTTGTACTACAATTGATGGCTGGCACAAGCGTCTTGGTCACCCTCAGCAGCGCGTTGTCCAGCACATTTTCTAGCAGCACAACTTGCCAGTTTCCACCAAGTCCAGTTCAGTCTTCTGTACTTCATGTGCCCATGGAAAATCTCACCATCTGCCTCACCCTCCACTAGTCGTTTTACATGGATTTTTCCTTTGTTCACAAAGTCTAAAGCCTTACCTACTTTTATTCATTTTCGTACCATGATTGAAAAACAATTGAATCGACCTATTAAAATTTTACACACTGATGAAGGAGGTGAATACCGCAAGTTCAAATCATATTTGCAGACCCATGGCATTCTACAAGCAAAAGTTTGATTGCCGTAGCCTATGTTGCACTTTTCTCGGCTACAGTCCTTGCCATAAGGGGTATCGCTGCCTGCACAAGCCCACTGGCCACCTCTACATTTCAAATGATGTAATCTTTGATGAAGGTTCCTTCTCCTACAGTGTTGGTTCTTCTCAGAGCTCTCATCATACAGATACTCCATCAGCATCTTCTCCCTCCATATTGGGCCCATTGCCGGTACTGAACCTGTGTTTTCAACCCACCAACAGTTCTTCAACTTCAGACAATGTTGCACATTCACAGGCCCATCTACCCGCTACACATTCACATTCGGCCCATCAGCCCACCATCCAGACCGCAGATCTACCCGCACCCATCGCAACTCCGCAAGCCCTTCTACCTTTTCTAGTGGCCCAGCCCACTACACAACCCACCACTATTATCAACGAGCCCACTAGTACTGACACACTTGCGCCTTTGGTCCCCACTTCAGCCTCTTCCCATAGTATGCAGACCAAATCCAAATCTAGGGTCTTCAAGCCAAACCCCAAATACACATTAACCTCCACCTCCACTGAGATTGAACCCACTTGCTACACACAGGCTATCCGTGATCCCACTTGGCACCATGCTATGAACAGTGAGTTCACTGCCCTTGTCTAGAACAAGACTTGGTCCCTTGTACCACCACCCCCTAATAAAACATTGTGGGCTGTCGCTGGGTTTACAAGATCAAGCGTCGTGCTGATGGCACCATCGAATGGTACAAAGCCCGTTTAATTGCCAAGGGGTATCACCAATAGGAAGGTATTGACTTTATTGACACATTCAGCCCTATTGTTAAGCCTTCAACAATTCGACTGGTCCTCTCCATTGCCACGTCCAAATCTTGGTCCACTCGCCAGTTGGATGTTGACAATGCATTCCTCCACGGCTACTTGAATGAAGAAGTTTACATGAGCCAACCACCTGATTTCCAACACCCCTCCTTTCCTAACCACGTGTGCAAGCTACATCGGTCTCCTCTATGGTTTACAACAGGCTCCATGGGCTTGGTTCACCAGGCTGCACAATTTCTTAACAACTCACGGTTTCATTGAATCCAAAGTAGATGCATCTCTATTTATCCATTACACACCTTAGGACATCACTTTGATACTCATTTACGTTGATGACATCATTGTCACTGGGTCCAACCCAATATGCATCGACTCTTTCATCCAAGCTCTCTCCTCTAAATTCTCCAATATGGGACCTTGGGCCTCTTCATTTCTTCCTTGGACTAGAGTCCTAGCCCACATATGATGGCATTCTTTTATCTCAGTCCAAGTATGATCTTGACCTTCTTCAGCGCACCAGAATGGCGAATGCAAAGCCTTGCACCACTCCCATGGCAGCCAATATTAAGCTCTCTGTCGAGGACTCAAAAGTGCTTGATGACCCTACTCTCTACCGTAGTACTGTTGGGGCCTTGCAGTACCTGACTGTAACCTGTCCAGATGGCCTTCTCGATCAACAAAGTTGCATAAAACATGTCTAAATCCATAGTTAATCATTGGGCCGCTGTGAAGCGCATTCTCCGGTATATCAAGCACACTCACACTCTAGACCTTCACATTTGTCGCTCTCAGTCCACTCAACTTCACGACTACAGTGACTCCAATTGGGCCAGGTGTTTAGATGACCACAGTTCTCAGGGAGGCTATTGCATCTACTATGGGCCCAACCTCATTTCTTGGTTCTCCAAGAAGCAGTCCACCATGTCCAGATTGAGTACGGAAGTAGAGTATCGGTCCCTCACCATCCTTGCAGTTGAGCTCACTTGGCTTGAGATGCTCCTTCATGAAATGGGCCTACCTCCAGTCTCCTCTCCAGTGTTGTGGTTTGACAACATAGGTGCTACATACCTGGCCTCTAATCATGTTTATCACTCATGTAACAAACATGTTGAGCTGGACTTCCATTTTGTTCAGGACAAGGTTCAACTTTGCCTGCTTGAAGTCCATTTTCTCACCACCATTGATCAAACAACAAACATCTTCACCAAACCTCTACATGTTCGGTGCTTCACATTCTTATGTGACAAGTTCTCCTTAACGAGTACGACATCACTTGAGGGGGTGTGCCATGCAATGGCTATCTCAACCATGCACGTTAGGAATCATGTATGATAAGGATTATCCTCAAATTGTATTGTACATCTAGAACTCTATTTAACTCTATCTCAAACGGTAGAGTCTTATGATCTCTATCTAGCTAAGAGTCTTGTATATAAATCCTCTTTAACCCAAGATAATTGATTAAGGCATTATGTATAACCCTGAACTCAATCTTCTCTCTCTCCCTGTTCTATCTTTAAGAAGCAATGGGGGAATGGTCAAAGGTTAAGAATGAAAGGTTTGTCAGTATAGCTTCGGGGTGTAATTCCCTCTATTAATCATTAACAAACACCCAGTCGAGTCTTTCTAGGATTCTTTTATTTCCCCAAGTAAATTAATTACCATTAGACTACATTCATTTATAAAATTATTAAGCATTCGGAATTGGCTAAGACAGGGGCCTCTACCACCGATTTTATTTTCAGTGAATGTGTAGGATTCTTTTAAGGCACCAAGGACCATTAATATTGGCTGCTAATTCTTTAATCCATTACCACACAATATTTTGTTCACTTTGATTAGGTGGAGAATATACAAAGGTGCACCACCAGCTTTTAGTTGAGTTTATTTCATTAACTAAGAAGTATGCAAATCTATCATTTGAAAAGGATAATTGAAGGTTGCATTGGCTTTGCCCTAGAGGATCGAAAGACCCCTGGAAAATTTCTGGTAATACATTAAGATCCGTTTGGTTTGCAGGAAAGGGGTCTGGAATCGGGATCGGAATAAATTATTCCGTTTCCAACTGTTTGGTTGGGCGGAATTAGAATCCCATTCCCATTCCTACTGGAATGACATTCCCCCATTTGAGGGAATGGCCATTCACTATTCCTCCCTCGGGAATTTCATTCCATTCCTACTGATTTTAATTCTTATTCTCATTCCTGTCTGAACCAAACGGAATATGAGAATGGACCATTCTGATTCTTGTCTCCATAAAAAAACACACAGCAGGGTGATGCTCCCTAACTAGGTTTGCCACATGGCATTGAAGTCGGGGTCTACCCGTCCCTCTGACATTCTATTTAAGGATTTTCATCGGTGCCTATCTTGCTTTCAGGACCGATGTTGTCCATGTTTTCCATATCTTCTTCATTGTTGTTCTCCTAAGTTTGATTTGGTTTGAGATTCTTATTTAATTTGTCATCAAGCTCTTTGGTTTACCTAGTCCTCGTCCAGTTCAGATTCGGTGCATTTGGACTCAAAGGGATTTTCCCTTCGATTCCAACCATTTCATGACACATCAAAAGTAAGAGAAGGGGAACCGGTTGGCATGGTGAATTCCTTCTTCCATAATTCTATACCATTAAGCAAAAAAAAAAAAAAAACCAAAGAGGGATTAAAAAAGAAAGAAGCGAAAATTCTTCTTCTTTCATTCCGGCGGACAATCTTTGTTGAAACGAGAAAGGTTTCTCTACTTTTTGATAAGCAGAAGCGTAAGATCGTGCAAAACTCTCCCTCGATTAATTAATATTCTTCCACTCAATAAACTGGAGAAATCATTCACCAGAGAGAGAGACTTCTCTTCGTTGTCTTCTTTGGGCGGGGGGGGGGAGGCATAAACCTTGTACCTAGGCTCCCTAACTGTAACTGGTCGTGATGGAAGGGGATTGAACCCTAATTGTTTCTTCTGCCGCAGAGGAAGGAAGAGAAGAGGGGAAGAAGCCTAACTTGGAAGAGGAGGGGCGCCGTAGAGAGGGAGATGGGGAAGAAGAAGAGGCTAACTCTGGAGTGCTTCTTGCAGAATCGTAGTCATAGAGGATTCCATTCAACAAAAACACTCTTAGAAGTCCTCAATGTCAAGGTCGCCGGTACCGACGACAAGATCTTCGTCCTCGCCTACGGCTTTGACACCGATCAATCAGCTTGGCAGTGCATACTACCCTATTTTTCTCAACACTACTGCATCAACCTCTATGACCTCGTATGTGCCGGCAATGTTAATCCTGATTACTTCGCCTACATTGATCACTCTATTTTCCGCCATGATAGGCATCTTAACCTCTGTTTCCGTCTGAAAACGAGGGCATTAGAATTTTCTCTCAGCATTACCTTAACTTATCAATCTTTTTTTCTTAAATATTTTTATTAGTAATAAGTTTTCAATCGATTGTAAGTGATGGTCAATTAAACACTGAATGACGTGTCAAAATATTGATGGACTCGAAGAAAAAATCCCTTCGAGTCCAAACGCAATGAATCCAAATTGGTCCTCGTCCATCGGGTCATCATCTTCCAATTCTTTTCCCTCACCTCCGTCTTCATCATTTGCTCCACCGTATATAGCTTCATTTTCAGCATCATTTTCCTCCTCATCATCATCAGCTCCACCCTACAAAGGTCTAATCTTGCATATATTCATTAAAGATGGGAATAAATTTAATTTAGTAATTGTGAAAGAGTATGGTATCACAATAAAATGACTTTGATGGATTTCAATCTCCACTTGAGACGATTTGGTTTGGCATGATGGGCGTCAAGTTGGATTGGGTACACCGCCTTGCCCTAACCCTACTAAGATGTGCTTGATATAGGGCTATAGGAGTGATCATGGGCCGGGCTTAGCACCTTTGTTAAAGGCTATAGCTT